ACGCGATCGAGACTCAGCCTTCCAAGAGTTAAAATGCAAATCCAAGCGTGAAAATAGGGGCAAAAGGGCGTCTACAGCACTCGGTGTTCCCAGGCGGTCACCCATCCAAGTACTAACCGAGCCCGACGTTGCTTAACTTCAGTGATCGGACGAGAACTGGTGTTTTCAACGTGGTATGGCCGTAGACGTTACACAGCAATGTTTCAGGCGAGTCTTTGGCCATATAATACGCTACGGTACACACAGAAAAATTAATTTCGGCCCAAAAATTTTGTCCAGGCCAGGAACTGGTCTAAATGGCCCACACGCGATCGAGACTCAGCCTTCCAAGAGTGAAAATGCAAATCCAAGTGTGAAAATATGTGCAAAAGGGCGTCTACAGCACTCGGTGTTCCCAGGCGGTCACCCATCCAAGTACTAACCGAGCCCGACGTTGCTTAACTTCAGTGATCGGACGAGAACTGGTGTTTTCAACGTGGTATGGCCGTAGACGTTACACAGCAATGTTTCAGGCGAGTCTTGGGCCATATAATACGCTACGGTACACACAGAAACATTAATTTCGGCCCAAAAATTTTGTCCAGGCCAGGATCTGATCTAAATGGCCCACACGCGATCGAGACTCAGCCTTCCAAGAGTTAAAATGCAAATCCAAGCGTGAAAATAGGGGCAAAAGGGCGTCTACAGCACTCGGTGTTCCCAGGCGGTCACCCATTCAAGTACTAACCGAGCCCGACGTTGCTTAACTTCAGTGATCGGACGAAAACTGGTGTTTTCAACGTGGTATGGCCGTAGACGTTACACAGCAATGTTTCAGGCGAGTCTTTGGCCATATAATACGCTACGGTACACACAGAAAAATTAATTTCGGCCCAAAAATTTTGTCCAGGCCAGGAACTGGTCTAAATGGCCCACACGCGATCGAGACTCAGCCTTCCAAGAGTTAAAATGCAAATCCAAGCGTGAAAATAGGGGCAAAAGGGCGTCTACAGCACTCGGTGTTCCCAGGCGGTCACCCATCAAAGTACTAACCGAGCCCGACGTTGCTTAACTTCAGTGATCGGACGAGAACTGGTGTTTTCAACGTGGTATGGCCGTAGACGTTACACAGCAATGTTTCAGGCGAGTCTTTGGCCATATAATACGCTACGGTACACACAGAAACATTAATTTCGGCCCAAAAATTTTGTCCAGGCCAGGAACTAGTCTAAATGGCCCACACGCGATCGAGACTCAGCCTTCCAAGAGTGAAAATGCAAATACAAGCGTGAAAATAGGTGCAAAAGGGCGTCTACAGCACTCGGTGTTCCCAGGCGGTCACCCATCCAAGTACTAACCGAGCCCGACGTTGCTTAACTTCAGTGATCGGACGAGAACTGGTGTTTTCAACGTGGTATGGCCGTAAACCTTACACAGCAATGTTTCAGGCGAGTCTTTGGCCATATAATACGCTACGGTACACACAGAAAAATTAATTTCGGCTCATAAATTTTGTCCAGGCCAGGAACTGGTCGAAACACTCGGTGTTCCCAGGCGGACACCCATCCAAGTACTAACCGAGCCCGACGTTGCTTAACTTCAGTGATCGGACGAGAACTGGTGTTTTCAACGTAGTGTGGCCGTAGACGTTACATAGTAATGTCTCAGGCGAGTCTTTGGCCATATAATACACTACGGTACACACAGAAAAATTAATTTCGGCCCAAAAATTTTGTCCAGGCCAGGAACTGATCTAAATGGCCCACACGCGATCGAGACTCAGCCTTCCAAGAGTTAAAATGCAAATCCAAGCGTGAAAATAGGGGCAAAAGGGCGTCTACAGCACTCGGTGTTCCCAGGCGGTCACCCATCCAAGTACTAACCGAGCCCGACGTTGCTTAACTTCAGTGATCGGACGAGAACTGGTGTTTTCAACGTGGTATGGCC